GAGGGGCACGAAACCATGTAAATAGTATGGTATTCCGATACCCTCCTCGCTCAGGCGGGGCCTCCCTGGAGGGGTGGGAGGGGCACGAAACCATGTAAATAGTATGGTATTCCGATACCCTCCTCGCTCAGGCGGGGCCTCCCTGGAGGGGTGGGAGGGGCACGAACCATGTAAATAGTATGGTATTCCGATACCCTCCTCGCTCAGGCGGGGCCTCCCTGGAGGGGTGGGAGGGGCACGAAACCATGTAAATAGTATGGTATTCCGATACCCTCCTCGCTCAGGCGGGGCCTCCCTGGAGGGGTGGGAGGGGCACGAAACCATGTAAATAGTATGGTATTCCGATACCCTCCTCGCTCAGGCGGGGCCTCCCTGGAGGGGTGGGAGGGGCACGAAACCATGTAAATAGTATGGTATTCCGATACCCTCCTCGCTCAGGCGGGGCCTCCCTGGAGGGTTCGGAGGGGCACGAAACCATGTAAATAGTATGGTATTCCGATACCCTCCTCGCTCAGGCGGGGCCTCCCTGGAGGGGTGGGAGGGGCACGAAACAATGTAAATAGTATTGTATTCCGATACCCTCCTCGCTCAGGCGGGGCATCCCTGGAGGGGTGGGAGGGGCACGAAACCATGTAAATAGTATGGTATTCCGATACCCTCCTCGCTCAGGCGGGGCCTCCCTGGAGGGGTGGGAGGGGCACGAAACCATGTAAATAGTATGGTATTCCGATACCCTCCTCGCTCAGGCGGGGCCTCCCTGGAGGGGTGGGAGGGGCACGAAACCATGTAAATAGTATGGTATTCCGATACCCTCCTCGCTCAGGCGGGGCCTCCCTGGAGGGGTGGGAGGGGCACGAAACCATGTAAATAGTATGGTATTCCGATACCCTCCTCGCTCAGGCGGGGCCTCCCTGGAGGGGTGGGAGGGGCACGAAACCATGTAAATAGTATGGTATTCCGATACCCTCCTCGCTCAGGCGGGGCCTCCCTGGAGGGGTGGGAGGGGCACGAAACCATGTAAATAGTATGGTATTCCGATACCCTCCTCGCTCAGGCGGGGCCTCCCTGGAGGGGTGGGAGGGGCACGAAACCATGTAAATAGTATGGTATTCCGATACCCTCCTCGCTCAGGCGGGGCCTCCCTGGAGGGGTGGGAGGGGCACGAAACCATGTAAATAGTATGGTATTCCGATACCCTCCTCGCTCAGGCGGGGCCTCCCTGGAGGGGTGGGAGGGGCACGAAACCATGTAAATAGTATGGTATTCCGATACCCTCCTCGCTCAGGCGGGGCCTCCCTGGAGGGGTGGGAGGGGCACGAAACCATGTAAATAGTATGGTATTCCGATACCCTCCTCGCTCAGGCGGGGCCTCCCTGGAGGGGTGGGAGGGGCACGAAACCATGTAAATAGTATGGTATTCCGATACCCTCCTCGCTCAGGCGGGGCCTCCCTGGAGGGGTGGGAGGGGCACGAAACCATGTAAATAGTATGGTATTCCGATACCCTCCTCGCTCAGGCGGGGCCTCCCTGGAGGGGTGGGAGGGGCACGAAACCATGTAAATAGTATGGTATTCCGATACCCTCCTCGCTCAGGCGGGGCCTCCCTGGAGGGGTGGGAGGGGCACGAAACCATGTAAATAGTATGGTATTCCAATACCCTCCTCGCTCAGGCGGGGCCTCCCTGGAGGGGTGGGAGGGGCACGAAACCATGTAAATAGTATGGTATTCCGATACCCTCCTCGCTCAGGCGGGGCCTCCCTGGAGGGGTGGGAGGGGCACGAAACCATGTAAATAGTATGGTATTCCGATACCCTCCTCGCTCAGGCGGGGCCTCCCTGGAGGGGTGGGAGGGGCACGAAACCATGTAAATAGTATGGTATTCCGATACCCTCCTCGCTCAGGCGGGGCCTCCCTGGAGGGGTGGGAGGGGCACGAAACCATGTAAATAGTATGGTATTCCGATACCCTCCTCGCTCAGGCGGGGCCTCCCTGGAGGGGTGGGAGGGGCACGAAACCATGTAAATAGTATGGTATTCCGATACCCTCCTCGCTCAGGCGGGGCCTCCCTGGAGGGGTGGGAGGGGCACGAAACCATGTAAATAGTATGGTATTCCGATACCCTCCTCGCTCAGGCGGGGCCTCCCTGGAGGGGTGGGAGGGGGGGGTGGGATATGGTATGGTATGCTATGGTACGCCATGGTATGGTATGGTACGGTATGGTACGTATGGTGTGGTATGGTATGGTATGGTATGGTATGTGTGGTAGGAACTATGGTATGGTATGGTGTGTGTGGTAGGAATAATATTGTGCTGTATGGAAGATGGAGCGGGAGGTGTGTGGGAAGGAGAGGGTGTTCTGGGAAAAAAACAAGAACCCCACTCAGGATGTGGGGAACAAGAACCCCACTCAGGATGTGGGGAAAAATCAGGACGTCGCGCGTCTGGGTTTGTAAAACAGGGCTAGCATCGGGATAAACCGCTCCAGAGCGTGCTGGAGCGCTCCCAGAGCGTTCCAGAACGCTCTGAGAGCGGCCGCGGCGCCCCATACATCCTCCAAACCCGCCGATTCTCCGAGACTTCGAGCTATCTCGATCCGATGTTGTCCCGATCTTCGCGGTGTTTTAGTTTGGTCGCACGTGGGGCAAACTCCACCCACTCCTCGTCCGGCCTCCGTCGTACACCATCGATGTGCCTCAGCACTCTTCTCCGTGGGGGTCCCGGCCGCCGCTCCTGGCCCCCGAGGCGCCACCGAGAAGAGCCGGGTCCCCAGTCCGTCGGCGCGGCCCGCGGGCCCCCTCCAGGCAGGCGAGGCGACGTCGGCTGAGGGCTTCTCACACGAGGTGGACGCCAGGAAGGCTCGCTCCCATCCCGAGAGCCAGCTTTTCGTCCCGAGCCGTGATGTTCAGGTCGGGCATGCCCCCCTACAGGAGGCGTGGGAGGAAAAATAAAAGAAATGGCAGAAAATGCTCCAAAGTGCTGAAAAACATTCAAAAGATCGCCACGAGACTACTGTTTGACTATTTTTGAACACTCCTCCTGTAGAGGGACAGGCCCGACTTAACGTTATGTTGCACAGTCACAGGCCTGGGCGTCCGAAACGGCCCCCAGACGCTGTGGAAGCGTCGAGGGAACGCCTGCCACGAGTCTTGCTGCTACGCCCACATATGAAAGTGATGGGCGTGTTTTCCACCACCACCACCACCAACGTAAGTTGGAGGGGGGAAGGGGGAGGAGGAGGAGGAGGAGGAGGAGGAGGAGGAGGAGGAGGAGGAGGACGACGACGACGGAGAAGAGGAGGAGGAGGAGGACGAGGAGGAGGACGCCCTCCCTCTACAACTTTGGTGGTCGTGGTGGTGGTGGTGGTGGTGGAAAACAGGCCCATCAGAACGTGCAAGTTTGGGAATGAGCAGTACCTCCCCGGCGACCGCCGTTCGATCCTGAATCGCTCTGCTGACGACCCCGAAGCCTGGCAAAGGCCCCAGAAGCCATGAACCGTGAAAAACCGTCCGTCACAATGGTTTCACGACTCGAGCGACCCGTGGGCGGAAAGCAGATCCGCATCCGCGGCCTCGCGGGCCAGGCCCCTCGTCCGCGGCCCCGCGGATACGGTGCGCCTTCTTCGCGGATACCCCGCGCGGAACGAGCCCGTGCGACCGCGCATCCGCGGGATCGCGCCCTTGCATCCCGACCGCGAGGGCGCGGCTACGGATCCCTGCGCCGCTCGTGCTCGAGGGGGGGGCGCGCCCTTCGGAAGCCCCCTCCAAAAGCCCCGAGGGCGTCCAGAAAACCTGTGGGGGGCAGCCCGGCGGCGGGAGGCCTCGAGCACGCGCCGGCGGGCGAGCTGGGGGCCCCGTCCGCCCGCCGTCGTCGTTGTCGTCATCATCGTCGTCGCCGCCGCAGCCGTCGTCGTCGTGGTCGCCGCCGTCGCCGCCGTCGTTGCCGTCGTCGCTGCCACCGCCGCCGCCGCAGCCGCAGCCGCAGCCGTCGTTCTCGTCGTCGTCGTCGTCGCCTCCGAGTCCGAGGGGCTCGCCAGACACGAGCACCACGCCCTGCTTCGCCGCCTCCAGGGCGGCGAGGCGCTGCTGCTCGCCGCGCGGCAGCCTGCAGGGTCGAGGGGTGTGGGGCTTGTGTTGCGCGGGGCCCTGGTGCAGTGACGATGGGCCTTGCCAGCTTCTCCGCTGAGGAACATCGCAACCAAGCAGGAAAAGGACCCCGAACCCTTTGGGAGGGGACCTCTGCCCAGGAACATCAGGGATAGGGGGTCTTCTCATTTCTGAAGATGTATCGAACCAAACCGCCCAGAAGTATTATCCCTGATACACAGACGCGGACCTAAATGAAGCCACGTCTTCATTGTGTTGTTAGGGTCAACGTTTTTTTCCCCTCGATGACGTAGGGCTTCACCATGCGAAGCATCAGTCACGAGGGAGAAGGGGGAGGAGGAGGAGGAGGAGGAGGAGGAGGAGGAGGAGGAAGAGGAGGACGACGACGACGAGCAGGGATCAGGACGCGCCGAGCAGCCAGGAACAACACGATGCCAAAATTACCATCGGCGGGCCTACGCACGAATCCGTGTTCCAGGAGGGCGATCCACGACGTTATGCGATATCCCTGGTGGCCTGGAAGGCAGCCTCCACATCGAGAGGGTAGAAGGGGGGATCGAGGCCCGAAGATCGAGGCTCGAACTTGTTGTCTGGCATTCTGCCAAGTTTGTGAGGGCCTCCGGAAAGCCTCCTCGCCCACACGAATGGATTCCACTCACAACTCTGGTCGACACGCGTCCCTCGAAAGATCGGATTGAAAGGGAGGAGGGGGAGCAAAAGGAGGAGGAAGAAGAGGGACTAGGAAGAGGAAGGGGAGGAGGCGGACAAGGAGGAGGAGGAGGAAGAGGAAGAGGGAAGAGGAAGAGGAGGAGAAATGATCAACGCGAGCCACCTGGGGAGGTCCGAGGAGGCCAGGTAACTACCAGACGCACCCCACCATAGGAAGAACCAGAAGCCTTTTCGCCTCGCGCGCAGGGAAACAGCAGCACCGCCTGCAGAGAAAACCCGCCACCTGCGGGTGGTCGCGCGAGCCGCGAGGCAGGGGGGCGAACCTCTGCTCCGAGAGTTCCCGCGAGCCGCGGGCAGCCCGCGCTGCCGAACCGCGCGCGCGCCCTGCAGCAAAAGAAGAGGATGGGCACCAAGACATAAAAGACGCAGAACCACGGTCATCCGAAACATGCTGCTGCAGCTGAGGTCACCGGTGCGCTGGTACACCCGAGCATTGTCTTTGGGTGGAGGGCGAAGGGTGAAACCTGAAATGCCGTTCCTGCGCACTTCCGAGGGAATCTGCCAAAGGTACAGCACGAGACGGGTGGATTTGTGAGGTGCGAAAGCTCGTATGGATTTCGCCCTGAGCCCTCCACCCTACAATCAAAAACCCTAATAAGGACGCGCGGTCATGACGCAAGACCCGTGGAAGCCGAAGCTGGGGCCTCTGGGGCGGCGGGCGACGAAAACCCCAGGGACGCAAGGGCAAGGAAGAGCAAGGACGCGAGGGCACCCTGAGCGAAGTCCCGCGCCCTTATTAGGGCTTTTGACTGTACGAGAATGCTCGGAGCCGCGCGCGCCCGCCCGCCTGCACGGCCGCGCTCGCCGCCGGCGTGCACCGAGGCGCGCTCGGGCTGGCTGCCGCCGGCCGTGGCTCGCCGTGCCAGCGTCGCTGGGAGGAGGAGGAGGAGGAGGAGGAGGAGGAGGAGGAGGAAGAGTCAGGAGGAGGAGGAACAGAGGAACAGACCGAGCGCACCCAGGTGCGAAGTTCGGGCGATGCCAAACGCATTCTAGCCCTGACAATGAGCGGCGCATGCAGCGGCAGGCGCAGCGGCAGCTGAAATTTCTTCCACGGCCATGCCGTGGGTAGCTGCGCGCAGAAATTTGGTGAGGCCATCGCGCCCAGCGTGGGCGCGCGTGAATTCTCCCTTGTCTATCTTGGCGAGGTTCTCTCGCCCTTTCTTGGTGATACCCGTGCAGGGTGCGGCAAGGTGGCGTGGGTCCTCGGTTGCCGTCTTACCGCACCCGCGGCAGAAGTACAGGCGGTACTTCTGCGTGAAATGAAGCTGATGGCTGGCGTGCAGCTCGCGCCCCGAAATGGTGATGGTGCCCTGTGCTGGCACTATCTGGTCACTGGCTGACGGCAGAGGCGGCTGGTGGGTGCACGGCGTGGCACAGGCCTGGCGTACTTTACACTTGTCAGTGGTGAGCCCGCATCGAGAGCACAGGTACTTGCCCGCTCTGAGCTCAAAGGCGCGCTGGCTCGATTGCATGGCTAACTGCAGCTTGGTGAGGCGCGGGCCTTTGGCCTGCGAGGGTCGCTCCGCGACCCACGGGTCGACTGCAAGCGTGTCAGCTAGGGCTCGGCGCGCCCTCCTGCGGATGAGGGCGCACTGGGCATCGTGCAGGTCTGTGGGAGGGGCCTGTCCTACAAGCGCTGCCTCGTAGGACTGTTGGGCCGCTACACCTGCCCATGCATCGGCCGTCGCGTTGCCGATAGTGTGAAAGTATCGCACAGGGTCTGAGGCTAGGCCAGGTGACTCCTCGCTGTGTGAGGGCACCCAGATGACAGAGAGCTGCCTAGTGCCACGCGCGCGAATTGCTTTGGCAATTCGTGCCCACAAGTCCTGATTGGCGCCATCGCAGGGGCGCAAGCGCCGATTCGTCCGCCATCCGTCGCATAGCGGCAGGTGGTCTGCAATGAAACAGAGGTCGCCCTTCCAGTGTTCTAGGGCGACCACGAAAGCCAGCAGCTCAGCACGGGGCACAGTCTGAAAGGGGCCCTCGAGGCCCGACATGATTCCTCCCCAGGGGACCCACTCCCCGAAGAGGCACTTCATAGCAGCACAGGCGGCCCCCACTCTTCGGCATCGTGGGTCATCACTGTACTGACCTCCAGAGCCGCCCCCGAAGAGAGCGAGGGTGCCGTCGCTACTGACGCAGTCCTCCCAATCCCGCCCAATCCAGCTCCACCCGCCGCCCCCTCCCAATGAAGCAAAGAGCGGGTGCGTGTCAGCGCGCGCAGGCAGGCCGCGGAGCCAGCATGCGGGAGCAGCCTCTGCTCCAGCCAGGGCAGCGGGCATGAGGGCGTCAGAATCCGTGTAGTCCTCGTGGTCGCGGTTGCAGGGGCACAACCAGACTCTGTGCATGAGCGTCTCGTCGGCCCCTCCGCACCTCGGACAAGTTGGAGTAGCGTTGTACCCCGTCTCGATGAGTCGGCTTCTGGGCCAGTGCGCCCCCGCGACCACGCAGAGGTTGAGGGCCGACTGGTCGTACTGGCCCTTCCTCGTGAACTTCTCCATCTCGTTGGCAACTATGTGGACGTCTGGCCCCCCCCCGTTGCAATCCTTCTCCATGTGGATGTTTGGCAGCGTCCTTCCAGAGGCTCCTCTCGAGGGACAGGCAGAACTCGTGGACGAACTCCGCGGGGTCCACGTCGTAGCGCCTGTCCTCCCAGTCGGCTTGTCCACTGCGAGGTAGCTGCCACTCCTGGTGCGGGTCTCGCCTGCCCATGGTGGTCGTGACCACTCCGTTGGCGTCGGGCAGGTCCAGCCTGCGTTCAGGAGGATGGCCTGGATGGCGGAGATGGGGCCCATGACCTTCCTCCACTTCTTGCTGCCGCGCGTGATCGACTTGTTGTAGATCAGCTTCCACGCCTGCGTGACCCGCATGTGGTGTTCTGGGTACTGCATCCAGAAGTTGAGCCACTCGGCGATCGACTGGCGCCTGAGCTCGATGGCGGGGTCCTTCTTCCTCATGACGACGGCCAGGGCTGTGGAGAGACAGCGGCCAGGGACCTTCCCCGCCGAGGCCTGGATGGCCTGGCGCCTCTGGTCGGGGATGGCCGCTGGGGCGAGGCCCATGATCTGGTGGCCGTAGGTCCCCTGCGGCCTGGAGCCCGTGTTCCACAAGCCCTTCGCGATCTTGGCGAGGGAGGCGTGCTTCCTGACCTTGGCGACGATGCGGTGAGTGCGCCCCCTCGCAGTCCTGGCCCTCTTGGTTGCCTTGGCCACGACCCGTCTCTTGGCGCCGCCCACGTCGATGCCGAGGTCGACCGCGCTGTTGGCCACCTTGACGCAGTAGCCCTGCTGCTTGAGGCCGTCGTGCACTGCGTAGGCGATCGTCTGGCTGGAGGCGACGACGGTGGTCTTGGGGGAGACTCGGAGCCCCGCGCCCATCATACCTGCGCAAAGGTCGGCGCCGACTCCGATCAGGTCCTTGATGGCCTGTTTGGTTTGGCCCTCTGTTCTCGCGACCGTGTCGTCCACGAACGTCCACAGGCCCGCGTGTGCGTGGTTAATGTGGGCCCTCTGCAGGATCGGCCCCAGGTAGACTTTGGCGAGCTTGCCGCCAATGCAGCTGCCCGCGACACTGGACCTCTCGGCATCTATGATGTCGCTGACCCAGCCGTGCATGCGCAAGTACCTGGGCGCCAGGTAGAGCTGCACCTCCAGCGCCACGACGATCGGGAGAAAGTTCACCCCGGTAGCGGCGTCGAAGAGGGGCGCGTAGCAGACCGAGTCGTAGAACTTCCCCACGTCCATCAGCAAGGTCGCGAAGGCAATGCCAAAGGTCGCTGCCGTCTCGCCAAGCAGCGCCCTGACCAGCGCTGCCCTTAAGGCGCTGGAGCCTTTGATGGCGGTGTCCCAGAACTCCTCGAGCTCCTTGGGCCACTCGTCGGTGACGCTGGAGCGGACCTTGGCCCACGTCTTGGGGATGGTGGGGAGCATGCCCAAGATTCTCTCTCCACCTGCGGGCTTGGGGGGCACGGCCCCAATGGTGGCGCAGAGCTGCTGCGGCCACAGTCAGTCCGTTGGCCTCCACACGGTTGTAGATGTCGGCGAGCTCCTGGGTCCCTTTCTCGGGGAGCCTCTGGATGTCGATGGGGCCGATGTTGTCGACTCCTCTCGCCTTCTTCGGGTTGGCGGTGCCCACGATGGCTTGCACGTGCTGCGGCTCGATTGGCGAGAGAGGGTCCTCTTTCGCAAGTCGCATGGCCTTCTCGTAGGCGCTGATGATTTGCTTGGCGTTGTAGCTGTCGGACGCCCAAATGGAGCGCCAGGTGTCGGCGGAGTGGTTCATGACCGTGGATGGGTCGCCCACCGTCCTCTGGGGCTGCTTGTCTTCCAGGCGCGGCGCCTTGGGGTCGGTGACCATGCGGCGCAGCTTGCCTGGTGACTCCTTCCACGCCTGCTTCGCCCAGTCGAGGTACCGTTTTCGCGCTCTGCCTGCAGCTCTCGCCATGGCCTTGTGGGTCCACTCCATGGTGGTGGCGCTGATGTGGTGCAGGTCGTCCTCGTCGCAGTACTCGAGGGTAGCGAGCTGGGTCTTCCACTCTTCGATCTCCTGCGGGTCGGCTTTCCTATCGAAGTGCTCCTTGGAGAACTCAGGGTTCTCTAGGTCGTCCAACTTTTCCATGACTGTCTTGTGGATGCGCTGGCGGGCTTTGGGGTCCTAGCCGTTGGTGACCAGCGCGGTGTACCTCACGACAAGGGCGCTGAGGTGCTGCCACCAGGTGGCCTCGGGGTCCTTGAGGTACGCTCTGCCAGGCGACGCCTTCATCGTCTGCTTGGTGGTCCTGTACCACTCTGCCCTGCCCTGGTACCTGGCCCTGTCCTCGACGGGGGCCGCGTGCGTCTCCAGGAAGACGAGCTCCAGGGTCGCGGTCCACTGCGCGTACTTCGAGTTGATGTTCTCCGCGAGGTTCGGCGCATGGCTGTGGAAGATGTGTCCTCTGCCCTCCTTGGTGCCGACCATTGTGCCATCGAGCTTCGGGAAGTTGCTGACCTCGTCGGCGGCTTCGTCCCAGTTCTCCTGGGGGGTGACGAAGGGGGTGGGGCCCTCCTTGGCCGTCTCGCGGTTGGTGTACAGGGCACCGAACTCGTCGCGCAAGTGCTCTGGTAGCCTTTCCCTCCTGGTTCGCAACGCCCCCGCACGAGCCTTGGACCTTTTGCTGCTCGGATCCGCGACCTTCTTGGGTCTGGCTCGTGCGGGGAGGGCTTTGGGAACCTTTATAGCGTTGCACCGCCACGGCTCGGCGGTGCCCACCGTGATCTGGATGCCGCAGTGGGTCTTCCAGGGGACGTCGTAGATGGCCTCGATCCCGACGTGCGTGGCGATGTCCGCCCGTACGATCGCGTAGTCGCACACGGAGCCCGAGCCCTTGTCGCACGTCGCCTCGCAGGTCGGGTCAGTCAGGATGGCGCCGTTCCAGCGCGTGAGCCACGGCTTGTTGTCCCACCAGTGCGGCTCGTAGTTCCAGTCGGCCAGGGTGACCCACGGGCCCATGAGCATGTCCACGAAGGTGGAGATGGAGACCAGGATGTCCCTGCTCGCGCCTTGGTCCCGTAGGCCAGGGCGAAGGCGCGCCGCCACGACGACTATGTTGCCGCTCTTGGTGTGGAGGACCGTCGGCGTGAACCCCACGAACGGCTGCCTCCTGTGGCGCTTGACATAGTAGTCCCTGTAGCCCTCGAACGTAGTCGCCGCCACGTCCCTGCCCGTGAGGATCCACTCGCCGCCATGGGTCCCCTTGTCCGATTTGTTGGTAGCCACCGCGGGTGTGGCCGAGAGCTTCCAGCCGTCCATGGCGAGCTTGCCGATCTGCTCCGTGAGGCCGTTCGCGTCGACGTGCGTCTCCGCTAGAGCTATGAGGTGGTACTTGTACCCTGCGTTGCGACAGAAGTTCGCGGCCTGCGGGCCCCATGCCGTTATGTTGCCAAACAGGATCTGCGCTGCCTGCTCTGGCTTAAGGGGCGGGCGCCCCTGCCGCGGGGGACTCACTGGCGCGGTTCCCAGGCCCCTTAAGCCGATGAGGCTGCTTGCTGCTACCCCAGCGACGGTGGGGCTCCTGCCGCTGCCGCTGGCACCGTGGTGGCGCCCTTGCCAATGCCCTTCGCTGCGAAGGCCAGCTCCCTGGCCCTGGCGGCGGTGGCGATGAGCTCGGCGGCGGCCTTGCGGTCCTCCACGGAGGGCTCGTCGGCGGCAGGGGCGGCTGCGGCGGGTCCAGGGGCCCCTCCAGGCTGGCGTGGCTCAGCAGGTGGGGCGGCGGAACCTCCTGGCGTGCCAGGTTGTGCCTGTCCTCCAGGCGCGGCCGCTGGCTGCTGTTCCGCTGGTGGTGCGGGAGGGTGCCCAGGCTCAGGAGCAGGTTGCTGAGCAGCAGGTGCCTCCCCATTCGGCTTCTTTCGCTTCGCAGGGTTGGTGGTGGACTCCTTGGCTTGGCGTAGGAGCTCACGAATTTTTTCTTGGCCATTGTTGAGCTCGGCGAGGCGCTGGTCGAGCTCTTGCTTCCACTGTTCCATCTGGGTGCGGGTGCCCTTGTCGTAGATGGAGAGGTCGTCCCACATAGAGCTGTCGACCTTAAAGGCTTCCTGAGGCCCCACAGGTGGTGCTCCGCGTACTGCTCCAGCAAGCTTGGCACTGTGGTCAGCTTGTGCCTTGGCGCATGCGTTCTGTGCCTGCACGAGGTCCAGGGCGGCTTGCTCTTGTTTGTCGACGGCGTCGTCGTACCACTGCTTGGCGGCCTCGACGTCGTCGACCGTCTGCTTGAACTTCTCCCTGTCGGTGAGGACTGACAGCGCCGACTGGAGCACCTGCTGTGCTGTGCGGGCAGGCTGAGGCTTGTCGGGCTGCTGGAGGGCGTCCTTGAGGTTGCCGACGAGTTCGGCGTGCTTGGTGTCGCTGAGGAGCGTGCTGAGCGTGGCAAGGATGGCGTCCCTTGTCGGGGCGGCGGCCACTGGCGGCTCCTTCCACGGCGGTGGCTTGCTGGCTCCTGCCCAAGCCCCTGTGGGCTGGCGGTGTCCGGCAGGTGATGGAGCCAGCTGCTTGCCACAGTAGAAGCACTCGGACTTCCCCTTCCATGTCCATCGGTATCGGCACTGCTTGCAGACTGTGTATTGGCTTGCGAACCTTGCTGGCGAGCCTCGTCCGCCTTCAGCGCGTGCACATCGCGGCCTGGTGCCGCCAGGGTTGGCGGCGGCTCCTCCGTCAGCAGGGGCGGTCCCTCCACCACGATCTGCGGCGGCCATCGTCCCTCTGCTTCCCAGGGAGCTCTCGCGAGCCACGCAAGGGAGGAATATGAAATGGGCGGCAGCACGCCCGTGAGTGTGGCTGCGGTGGGCGGCAGCTCGCCCGTGAGTGTGGCTGCGGATACGAAGAGCACTGATAGCTGTGGGAGCCTACCCCAGATCGGCAGTGAAATGAACACCATCTTGGCCTTGAGCCACAGTGGCTACGGAGTCAGGAGGAGGAGGAGGAGGAGGAGGAGGAGGGCACCGCGCTGCCGTGCGGCACACACACGCTGCCCGCGGGGCGGGGAGCGCGAAGGGGGGCAACCCCCCTCCCGGCCACGGCTGGCCCCGGCCACGGAGGGGCCTCCGGGCACCCGGCTCCGGGGTTCCGCCCCGGGAAGCCGGGGCCCCCTCCTGAGCTTAGCCCCAGGAAGCATTTAAGAACCCCCCCGGCGATATCGCAGCACCGCATGTCTTATTCGATATTCCGAGGGGCCGAAATCACCGAACGATAGCTTTATTAGCGCGCGGACACAACACACAGCTCCTGGTGCCAGGTACCGCTTCCAGGGTGCGGAAGGGTTCTCGATTTGCCGGAGGGGGGGGGGTTCTTAAATGCTTCCTGGGGTTAGCTCGGGGGTGTGCCCCGACTTACCGGGCGAAGAACGGTATAAGATAACTTTTTCGATGTCAGGGGTCGCCTGTCCCTGGGCGGCTGGAAAGTTTATACCCTTACGGTGGCACCGTAGGGGCATAAACTTTCCAGCCGCCCAGGGACGGGCGCCCCCCGACAGCGGAAAAGTTTATCTTGTGCCGTTCTTCGCTCGCTGACCTACGGGGGAATTTTGGGCGAAACCTCAACAACGCCCCACAAAAAAAACACCCCAAAAAGGTGCAGAAATAGTCAAAAAGTCGTCCCAAAACTATGGTTTGACTACAAAACACCCCACAACAAAAACACCCCAAAAAGGTGCAGAAATGGTCAAAAAAGTCGTCCCAAAACTATGGTTTGACTATCTTTGAATGAGTCTCCCTCCTGTAGAGGGACAGGCCCGACTGAATCCTAAGCCCATCGGGTCTTACGTCAGCATCTCGACTGTGGAGCCGTCGCTCCGCGCCGAGCCGTCACCCAGGTGGAGGTTCGGGAGGTCGACGGGGGGGGGGCCTCGACCTGCTGTCAGACAGGCGCCTTTGGTGAGAACACTGAGTGCCCTCGTGCGCTACCGAGATTTGGCCAGGGAAGCAAAGGCATACTCCAGAGAAGCTTTGTTCCTCCCTCGCTTTCGCTTCCAAGCAAGACCAAGTCACACCGTGCACCCCGTGAGCGGCAGCACGGGAGTGAGCGCCCCCCCGCCGCACCGCACTGGCATGCCACTGAATTCCCAGATGTAATCCAGGACGACGCGAGGTGTCGCACCGGAGCGACTTGGTATAATACCGGAAATCGGGGATGGACAGACCTCCCTGTAGTAAAACGTGGTTTAGTGAAAACGACCTCGGGCCCAAACCTGGCGGGCGCAAGCCTGGAAAATGACGGCCGCGGCACCCTCTCAAGAGCCGAAAACGGACAATTCACTAATCGACGTGTAAGGGTAGGAGGTCTGTCCACCCCCGACAGATATAATCCAGGACGACGCGAGGTGTCGCACCGGAGCGACTTGGTATAATACCGGAAAGCCTCGAGATTGTACCAAGGCGCTCTCCGGTTCGGTACCGGGAACATGCGGTACAGTGCCGGGAAAACTTGGTATTGTACCAAACGCGTTTGGTATCATACCAAGTTCGCGTTTGTAGCGTGATTTTACACATGCGGGCCTGGCCGAAGTGCACTTGGTACGATACCGGAAAAAACTTGGTAGAATACCCTATGTTTCCGGTATCTTACCGGAGCGTCGTCTGGTACGATACCTTGCGTCGTCTGGGACAGTACTGAGGAGATCTGTGGTTCGGCAGTGCGGAGTGTTGGGGGCGCGCTGCGAAACTAGGTAAGATCGGCGGGCATGTCGATCATATTGTGACACCCGCGATCGCGGTCGCGTCCCTATTGGTCGGCTCCCGCTTGGAAGCGGGGGCGGTCAAAAGCGGGGTGGGTGTTTCGCCTTCTGAATGCTGTTCCTCCTGACCCTCCCCTCCTCCCCTTGCCCCTGCCCCCCCCTGTGCACGGCATGCTCGGATGCCCCCTCCTTCTGTGGCGTGCGGCTCCGCGCCGACTGCGCTCTGGGGCCTCTGGCCCACCTGCACGGCTGCGCGGCCCCCGCGAGACTCGGCCTCGCCCGCACGCGGGAGACGGAGCGAGATCGAGGCAGGTTTCCCAGCCATGGGGGGCGCTCACATTCACTTCGGTCTCGCCTGCCAGACTCCGAACGACCTGCCTCGCTACCAGCCTAGCGCACTGGCTACTGAGTCCACGATCAGCATTGCAGGCACACGCTCACGCTCAGTACGGCAGGTTCGTGCCGACCCCGGCGTTGGTTTCTGACACCGCGGGGATCGTTCAACCTTGAACGATCGGCCGTTTCCGCAACGTCCAATCGTTCAACATCGATCGATTCTGGGCCGCCGCCGGCGTTCAAAGTTGAACGCCGCTGGCGGGGTCGCCGCCGGTCGACACGACACGAACCTACCGTATGTCTGTGTTTCTTGCGTTTCACGATCGCGCCGTTACACCTCACGACCTGAGAGTCGAACGTCTCCAGACACAAGAGCAGACACGGAACAACTACGGGGCAACTGCGGCGCGATCACGTGACAACCACTGGACAACCGAAAGGGATGCTGGCGGGACAACCATGGGACAACTGCACGGGACAGCCCCTGTCACATTGGTCTGGCCCCTCAACCTGCGATTGGACGCGACATGCCTAAAACTCCCCTGCAATATGTGTTTTGCAACGTGGGCCCCCCAGGGTTCTGACCCCTTCCCCGGGACCGGCGTTTCACCCTGAGTCGTTGTTTTCACTGTCTCGGGCAGCGGCAAGGGCCCCCAGAGGTCGAAAACTGTCAATTATCCTGGCAGAGGACCCAACCACATGCACTTGTGAGCACCGTCGTTGCGGGTATCGCCTTCGGGTGATCTCCTCATGGTGCCATAACACATGCGAAGGGTGTACCGATGTTGGGCGGGGCCGCCATGTGGGCGCTGCCACTGGGGCTTTGGCGGAACCGACTATGGGGCCGCGAAACGTGTGAGGTGTACGCCGCAATGGTTCGGGGCCGCCACTGAGGCCTTCGGTCGAGCTCCTACAGGGCCACGAAGCGCTGTGACTGGGCGGGGGAAACGCATGCGAACACCGCCACTGGGGCCTTCGGTGGAGCCCCCTGCGGGGCCACGAAACGCTCTAATAGATGGTGGAGACGCATGCGGACACCGCCACTGGGGCCTGCGGTGAAGCTCCCTCGGGGGCCACGAAACGCTATACTGGCTGGAGGAGGCGCATGCGGACACCGCCAGTGGGGCCTTCGGTGGAGCTCTCTTTATGGGGCTACGAAGCGCTGCACTGGGTGCAGGAAACGCATGCGAACACCGCCACTGGGGCCTTCTGTGGAGCTCCCTATGGGGCCAGGAAGCGCTGTGACTGGGAGGGGGAAGCGCACGCGAACACCGCCACTGGGGCCTTCGGTGGAGCTCCCTGTGAGGCCACGAAACGCTGTACTGGGTGGGGGAAACGCGTGCGAACACCGCCACTGGGGTCTTCAGTGGATCTCCCAATAGGGCCGCGAAACGTGTGAGGGGTGTGCCAAAGTGCAGGGGGACGGCATGCGAACACCGCCACTGGGGCCTTCTTTGGAGTTCCGTGTAAGGCCACGAAACATGTGAGGGCTGTGTCAAATGGAAGGGGGGCGGCATGCGAACACCGCCACTGGGGCCTTCAGTGGAGCTCCCTGCGGGGCCGCGAAACGTGTGAGGGGTGTGCCAACGTGAAGAGGGGGCGGCATGCGAACACCGCCACTGGGACCTTCGGTGGAGCTCCGTATGGGGCCAATGGGGCCACGAAACATGCGAGAGTTGTACCAAAGTGGAAGGGGGGGGGCGGCATGCGAACCATGCCACTGGGGTCTTTGGTGGAGCTCCATGTGGGGTCACGAAACGTGTGAGGGGTCTGCCAAAGTGAAAGGGGAGCAGCATGCGAACCATGCCACTGGAGCCTTCGTTGGAGTTCCCCATGGGGCCACGAAACGTGTGAGGAGTTTGCCGAAATGGTTGACTGATGCGGAGGCCAGACGCAGGGATTAGAGGAGAAGGGATGACGGGGAGAAGGAGAAGAGGAGGAGGAGGAGGAGGAGGAGACACGGGGACCGCCTCTTCAAAACGAGGACCCAACACCACAGGATGGTTGGGAAAATACCTTGCGCCGTGATTTCTTCAAGACTAAGGAAGGTGGGATGGGGGGGGTCGATAGGATGGGGGCGGGGATGCCCGGCAACGATGCTGCGCAACGCAATGAGAATGCGAAACTCAGCTCGTGTTAAGATGACCGAAGTGATCAGGGGCTGCTCTTGGATCTGACCTCCCCTTTGGCACGAGCACATTAAAACAGGGCTATGATCGGGATAAATCGCTCCAGAGCGTTCCGGAGCGCCGTTTCACACATGATACCGACTGCAATGGAGGGTGCGGCGACCCCAATCTCGAACTCTTTGGGACTCTCGACTGGGGGGCCGAACTCGGGGATGCGTTCCGGCCGGCGGCGAGGCAGAAGTGCTGCTCCAGCGGGCGGAAACTCGGGGCCACACGACGGAGAAGCGTCCCTCCTCGAGAGGGGTGCGTTCGAATAGCCCCCCAATGGGACATATCGCTAAGACCCCCTTTTCTGACGGGAAGTTACGGGAGGGGAAACGAAGGGGCTGGGGGAGAGAAATCGCATGCGGACTACTCTGGGAGCCGAGCGGGCTCGGGGCGCGTCAGTTCCGAGGCCTCCCCAGCACCTCTCAACTTCCTGGCACCGGAGGAGAGGCGCATCCAGAGATTGGAACAAGAGAGACTTCTGACGAGCAGGTTGAGTCTCGAGTTCCGAGGTTTCTGAGCCTTGGGCGAAGAAGGAGAAGACGGGTGACGGGGCCGTGTCGAGCGCCTCAGTCTTCGCTTCCGCCAATCACATCGTCTCCGTCATCTTCGGCCCAGGGTGCTCCCTGGGGGGGCACATCACTCTCGATCACGGGGGCCGCCGTACGGTAGGGCCTGCGGAGCAGCACCAGGACGCAGCCCTTGCCACTGCTGCTGGAGGCGTCCGTAAGCTGGTGGCTGAGGTGCCTCATGAAGATCTCCGTGTTGTTTTGCCAGGGGTAGTTGTCAACCTGGATGATATGGCCGCCAACCTGACTGCCCTTCGAAATCTGGTTCGCGTTCCAGCCGCTGATGCTATTTGCTGTTCCATCTGCCTTCACCACCTTGAGCGCGCTGATGAAGACTGGGCCCTCACCCGTCGTGTTCAGTTTCCAGCACACGGCCTGGGGTGACAAGATTCAGCTCGGCCGAATACTCAAACTCAAAATATATATGGACGGACTCGTCTTCCGTCTCAAGGCCCTCCGGCCACTGGGCCCACAGGCGCATGACGGGATTTGGCGAGCTGCTGCTACAGGCGCTGCGCGAACTCGCGAGAGGTGTTGCGCCACAGGACGTCGTTGACCTTGACGATATGGTCCCCAGGTATTACCTCAAAACCGGTATTTGCCTCGTTGAAGATGCTGACGGCAATCAAAGGTTTGATCGCGATGATTGTAACAGGGAGCTCGTCGTCGGCATTCATGCGCAGGCCCAGGAGCTGGCCCGCGCGAGCCGGTATCTCAACAGCCCATCCTTTGGCATTCTTGACCTCGACCTCCCGCTGCACGCGTAGGGTGGTGCTGCGACTCGTGCAGACTCAGAAGCCTGTTCCCGAAGTCAACCTTGTCGTAGTTCTAGTCAACATTGCCCGCTCCGAAAAGGCGATCGCCGACAGCCAGCTTCTTCGTGGGGTTCGCATCGTTCCAAGAGCTGAGAAAACCAGCGCTGGGAATAACCATCGGTGATGGTTGCGGGGTCGGATGTGTTTATCTGCAAGGTCCAGCCGATATCCGTCGACCCGTTGTAGCAAAGCAGCGTCACATCAAAATTCGTGTTGAATGATTTGCTCTCCAGCACTTCGACGACCGCCCTGGGCCTCTGAATGTGCAAAGACATTGCCAACGTTGATTTGGCATCTGCGATAGTTCTGTGCCACTTCGTCTCAATGCGGTTATTGAAGACCTTGGTGTCGTGGTGCCAATGGATGCCGTTGGACGTGACGATCTCGTCGCCGTGGCATACCCTGAATTCTGGGCTCTCTTGGTTCCAGAGTGCCAACATACCCGTGCTGTTGATACTTCCGATGCCCGGAGGAGACCAGTCGTCGGAAGTCGACTTCAGCACCCAGCCCATGCTCTGTGGCACAAAGAAGATGTCGAAGGCGAAATCCTTCGGGCATTGCGTGTGGTACAAGTCGTCCCGCTGCACCTGGGTTCGGCCCACATTCTTGAGCCTGGAGCGCTGAAAGAACAGTTTGAGCACGTCCTTGGTGCCCTCCTTGCCCTTCCTGGACGCCTTGAACAGGCTTTTGATGAGCTCCGCAAATATTTTGAGTTGTGGTGCCAGGCAATGCTGTTGACCTTCGAGATCGTATCGCTCAGGAGAACGGCATCGTTTGGATGTTGCTTGCGAATCTTCGAGAACGAGATTGGTGTAAAGTTGCTGTCGGTGTCCAGCTCCACCCCGATGTACTGGTCCTTCTCGTGGCCGCAATCATGTCCAGCTCCACTGTGAACTCCTTCTCGGACGCCTGCTCGTGGGCAGATTGCCTCTCCTCCAAGCGAGGTGCTCCTCCACCGGGCTGGCTGCGAAGACGTGGGCCCCCCCAGCTCTGCAGTCGCCCCGTTCCCCTGCGCGGCGTGGAGCTGCGAGCCCTGGACCCCCAGCCCGACGAGCGCCACCAGAGCCGCCAGCGCGGGACGTCGCTCGACCACCCCGACGCGGTCCGAAGATGTCCGCTGCCGCGCAGACGGTGCGCAGAGCTGTGCAGAGCCAGCGAGCAGCTGCGAGCATACGGCGAGCCGAGCTCACACCAAGACGTCGGGCCGCCCGGGCGGCACGCACTGGTGGTGCGGCGCGGGCGCACGCGGCAGAAGGAAGGGAGGGCGGCAGACGGGCGAGGCGGGGGCGGGAAGGGGGGAGGGGAAGGAGGGGGGTGGCATGGTGCAGAAGGGAAGGGGGAGGGGGAAGAGGGGAGGGGGAAGAGGGGGAGGGGGGAGAGGGGGAAGGGGGAAGAGGGAGAGGGGGAGGGAGGGGGGGCGAGGAGCAGAGGGGAAATGAAGCGGGGGTGGGGCATGCTGGAAAAACTGCAACCAACAAGACGACCACAGGAAGAGGAAGCCACGCTCGACTCGCCCGGAGGGCATGTCGGACCCGCGCACTCTCGATCGTCCGAAACAATCGCAGAAGCGTGACGTGACGTGTAGTATGCCCTCATGTGTGAGCACAGTGAGACCCGACGGCTGCTGCACAACCAAAGCAACATTCTGCCCCCCGATCGCCACAACACTTCGGGCCCAAAATAATTAAGCTCAAAGAACCAGGTGCACCACAAAAGGAAGACGAGAACGCCTTTTCTATCGCAGGAGCGAAGGAACCGTTGCTTTCAGAAATTCCGTCGCTGCGGACACCCACATGTGCTATTCGGGTGGCGAGTTCGCACCGTCATGGCAACGCCCCAACAGCCGCGAGAAATTCATGCGCGCTGCCGAAGGATGGCCGTGAAAAAGCAAGCCGAAGCGGAAACGGAAAGCGCACCGTGCCCAGCCGGAGGCCGCCACGAAGGAGGCGAAGTGCAGGGGGCTGCAACCCTCAGTGGTAGTTGCAGTCGGCAGTAGGGCAAGGCGGGAAAAGACTGAAAGGCACCCCACACACACACACACACACACACACACACACACACACACACAAACACACACACACAAACACGCACACAGCACACATACCTTGCTGCTCGGAGCTTGATGCCGCAGCTGGAGACATGGACTGTTCATCGTAGTAGGGCCCGATGCCGATCTGACTCTATGCGCGCATGCGCTCATTCCCAGATAGTCACTGGCATGCGCTGGCACTATATAGCTTGGCAAGACCTGCAAGCGAACGCGCTCAGTTTTCAGCTAAATGAAAGCCACGAAAAAACGACGGGCGAGTGCCCTAATCCTATCATTAGCCCTTCACTTTCAAGTATGTGTTACTGTCTCAGCCCCATCTGTCCTCCACCACCCCTCCTCGGCCTCGTCCTCACGCGCTCGCATCACTTCATCTGCATCATCCCCGTGCCTGGCCTCCGTCCTGATATTCTCCCTGCCCCGCATGCCTTCGAAAATCCCTCACAGACCGCCTTTCGGATGATGAGGAGGTCGGGGAGGGGGTGAGTTCAACTTTGGTTGTGCGATTTGCGTCGAGTCGGATACGCAGTCGTCCTTCGCCTGCTACTTGGCCACACTTACCATGCATCAGTGAGCAATGAGTAAGTTTCATGTTTGACGAGGGGGACGCGTCGGTTGCGATGCGATGTTCAACCGAACGCCTGAAGATATCACGGTGGCTGCGTGCAGTACGTCGCTCGAACATCGTCATGTGCCAACACACCGGCTGCAGCACCACGAGCAGTCCTAAAAGGATTGAAAATCTCCCCGAACACCGCACCCAGTATCACAGCTCACAAGGCTTCACACCATGGGGGATCGGACCTGCCATCACCCTGCCGCTCACAATCCCAAGAGGGGGGGGGCTCGATTTTTGACCGCTATGGGGTACGGCCCACGTCGCAGGTCTAGACAGGTAGCGGTGCCGAGGCCGCCCGAGTCCATCTCAGGATCCGGGCGGCAGCAACGGCAACACCGCCCGCACCGCCCTCATCACTCGGAACACATGGCTTTGTCATTCGCCGCGTTGCTCCCAGCACCGAGGGACATCTGTGCAACGACCGAGACACGGGCGGTTCCGAACGGTTGTCGGTTGCGTTTCTTTTTGGAATGCCCGCCCGTCGGGGGCAGCAGCTCTATTTTCCTGCCTCCGCATGGGAAGCGACGATGCAGCGCGTTGCTACTCGTAGAACGCAGCACTCTGTGTTTATGTGTCTGCTGATGTCTTCTATCATAGCGTGGACATGCCGTGCTGTTAGCGTCTCCGGCCGTTCGAAGCCGTTCCGGGGCCTTCGCGGGGTGGCGGGGGCGTTTGCCATCTTGTACGCCATGGGGGCCGTCCCAGGAGGCTCAAGCCATTGAATAGCATATGATGTTGTTTTTTGTCGCGTACTACCCTTTTGGGTATGAAGGGCGTCCCTGACCGCCCACGAGGCCCTAGTGAGGGCCAAAAGAATGCCCGCGAGGCCTACAAGGGGGGGGGGGGCTAAGAAGGGGAGCTCGAAGGGGCGGTGGGTTCTTACACACCGAGATGGCCCCGAAACTCCTTCTCCACGACCCAGGCAAGGTGGCGGGTCAAGCCGAAAGCCATTCGATCACTTGCCGCTGACCTCTAGCCCACTCTGTAGCTGGCCTGTTATCCACTTCTCTTACTGCCCAACACAATATCTAAAGATCCGAATAAGCAGGGCAAACACAAGACAGCCTCGTGACAATCATAGAACAGCCGCATGGGACAACCGCAAACAACCACTGGACAACTGCACGTGACAACTGCACGGAACAACCGCACAGGGCAACAAGAGAATCCACTACGGGACAACATCAGGACAGCCGATGGACAAGCCTGCGACCTCGCGCCAAGCACGGGGTCGGGGAGGAAATCTGATTAACTTGGCCATCGCAAGGGCAGGAACGAATCCAATTTTGATTCCCCAATGGGCGGCGCCCCGTTGCATGCCGGACTTACACCCCAAGCTCCCGGTATGATGCTACAGGATTGAGGAGGATGGGCAAGATTGCCCCGCAAACAAAACAAGCATGGCACCAAAAACGCAAAAGCAGCTAAAGCTGCGTAGAGTGACTCAAACCGGGCGCGCATAACTGTGGCCATCTCTTTAGCACAACGGCGTTCTACCGACGCAGCCAGACGCTGTTAGTGGGAAGGGAACGTCCCAGGATCCGAAGCACGTGCATGCTTAGCGCGGAAAGCCCTGGAGTCATTTTGGAAGCCGAGCTAACCGATAAGAAACAGCTTCATCGAGGTCCGCTTGCAACTGAGAATTCAGGGCGCGCCTGCTCCGAAACCTCCTCACAAGATCCCCGACCCTGGCAATGGAAAAGACACACTCCCAAAGAGGAAGACAAGAGAGGCTTCCGGCGTGGAGGTTGAGTCTCCGATTCTGAGGCCTCTTGGCCTCTGGTTGGCCGAGGGGGGAGACGGGTGAGACGGGGGCCCTGCCAAGGCCGGGCTAACGGCGATGTTGCTTGACGGTGATGCTGGGAACCGAGGGTAGGAAATCACGGACCACACTCTCACACACTTCCAACCTGCGAATGGATCGAGCGAACACGACACAGCGAATACAGGAAAGCGCGAGCCACGCGTTCCCACAATACCGAAACCTACATCGCCGTCACCTACATCGTCGTTAGCCCGTCTACGGCCGTATCGCGCGCCTCAGTCTTCGGCTCCGCCGACCACGTCGTCTCCGTCATCTTCGGCCTGCGGTGCTCCCGGGGGGGCCACGGCGCTCTCGACTGGGGCGGATGTGGCGTAGGGTCTGCGGAGCAGCACCAGGACGCTGCCCTTGCCACGGCTGCTGGCGGCGTCCGCAAGCTGGTGGTTGAGGTGCCTCATGAAGATCTCCGTGTTGTTGTGCCAGGGGTTGTTGTCCACCTGGATGATCTGGTCGCCGGCCTGGATGTCCTTCAAAATCCGCAGCCCTGCCTTGTGCACGCTGGGGCATTTTCGAATACTCCTCTGCCGTCTGGTAAGGTTTCATTCGTATTTTCTGTTGCTGACCCCATCCACGGACCCCCCCAGACGCCGCCAAGAGGCCCAAGAGACCCCAAGAGGCCTCCTGGAGGTCCCAACCGACCACCAAAGGCCTCCCGAACATACCTTAAAAGGCTTTCGAGAGGCCCACAGGAGGCCACAGAGGAGCTCCAATATGCGCATGTAGCTAGACCTGCTTCACGCTGCGCTGCTGCGCTGGCACTGTGGCGGGGTTGGCCGCAGGCAGCTGGACGTTCTTTTGGTTCCAGCTGCTGATGCTGGTTGCTGTTCCGTTCGCTTTCACTACCGAGAGCTCGCTGATGAACACTGGGCCCTCACCGGTCGTGTTCAGTTTCCAGCCCACGGTCTGCGGCGACGAGATGTTCAGCTCGACCGAGTATTCATAGTAACGATGATGGATGGGCTCGTCTTCCGTCTCAAGGCCCTCCGGCCTCTGGACCCAAAGGCGCATGACGCCCGTGCGCTTGGACTTGGTGAACTGCTGCTCCAAGCGCTGCGCGAACTCGCGAGAGTTGCTGCGCCACAGGACGTCGTTGACCTTGAAGATATGGTCCCCGGGCTTCACCTCGAAATCGGGGTTGTCCTCGTTGAAGATGCTGACGGCACTCAGAGGCTTGATCGTGCTGACTGTGGCAGGGAACTCGTCGTCGTTGACGCTCATGTGCAGGCCCAGGAGCTGGCCCTCGCGGGCCGGTATCTCAACAGCCCATCCCTTGGCGTACTTGACCTCGGCCTTTCGCTGCACGCGCAGGGTGGTGTTGGGACTCGTACGCAAGAAATTCAGAAGGCGGGGCCCGAAGCTGCTCTTGTTGTGGTGCCAGTTAGCGCGATTCGCTTTGAGGATGCGATCGCCAACGGCCAGTCTCTGCGTAGGGTTCGCCTCGTTCCAATGGCTAAGAAAGCCAAACCTGGAAATCCACCAACGTGCCTCCTGGCACGCGTTCAGACGTGGTAGAATGCAGAGAGCTGTCTGATAGGCGTTCCCGATGATGTTGTCAAGGCCCACCCCCGCCCCTCCCTGCCCCGTCTGGATGCCTGCATCGCCCCCCATTCCGTAGTAAAGAGCCATGGGCCCGCGGTCCCGAGGCCACGATCCCGCGCACAAAAACTATGGATGCGCGTTCCCAGGGCCACGCACGATCCCTCAGGATCCATGCCCCTGGGGCCACGACCACTGGTACAAATCTATGGGTCCGCGTTCTCGAGACCGCGATCCTTGGTATCCGCGCTCTCACATTTCCAAGACGGCCGAGGCAGACAACCAAGGTCGCCAAGACGGCCCAATATGCCCCCAAGACGGCTTAAGATGGCCTCAAGACGTCCCAAGCGGTCCCCAAGACGGACCAAGAGAGCCACAAAAGGACACCCACAAGGGTCGGAAGACAGCCAAACTGACATTTGTGCGTCTTCACCAGTTCGGCCTTCCTTCAGCTCCAGACGGTAAAGGCCTCCAAGACGGCCCCAAGACGGCCCGACAGGGCCCCACAATGGCCAAACGATCCTCCAGGACGGCCTCAAGACAGCCGAAGAGGGCCCATAAGAAGCCCACCCAAGAGAGCCCCGGGCTGGCCGAAAAGGGCCTCCAGAGCGACCCGAAATGGCACTGCAGAGCCCCTCGACGACCCAAGACGACCCTGAGACGGCCACACGACGGCAACGAGAGATGCGAGGACCCCAACCCGGCCCAAAAGAGCCCCAACGCATCCCAGGAGGGCCCAAAGACGACCCCCAAGTGGCCCAAAGGATCCGCAAGACTACCCCACAGAAGCCCAGAACAACCCCAAGACGGCCCACACGAGCTCCACGAGAGCTCTTGAAGAAGTGAAGATGAAAGGAGTTACATGTGACGGCCGTCGTCCTCCTCCTCCTCCTCCTCCTCCTCCTCCTCCTCCTCCTCCTCCTCCTCCTTCTCCTTCTCCTTCTCCTCCTCCTCCTCCTCCTCCTCCTCCTCCTCCTCCTCCTCCTCTCCTCTTTCTCCCCCTCCTCCTCCTCCTCTCTCTCCCTCCTCCTCCACCTCCCCCTCCTCCTCCTCCCTCCTCCTCCTCTCCTCCTCCTCCTCCCTCCTCATCATCATCATCATCATCATCATCATCATCATCATCATCATCATCATCATCATCATCATCATCATCATCATCATCATCATCATAATCACCATCATCAGGAGCAGCATCAGCATCAGCATCAGCATCAGCATCAGCATCAGCATCAGCATCATCATCATCATAATCATCATCATCGTCATCATCATCATCATCATCATCATCATCATCATCATCATCGTCGTCGTCGTCGTCGTCGTCAGCAGCAGCATTGCCATCATCACGAGCATCACCACCATCATTATACTCACCATCGGCATCAGCGTCTGCATCAGCATCAGCAGAATCATCCTCATCATCATCAGCAGCAGCGTCATCATCATCAGCAGCATCAGCATCATCATCATCATCATCAGCATCAGCATCATCACCAGCAGCATCATTATCATCACCACCAGCATCATCATCATCATGCTCATCACCATCCGCATTATCATTGTCACCATTACCATCATCCTCATCATCGGTGTCATCATCGTCGCCATCATCACCATTATCATAAGCGTGATCATCTGCAGGAACAGTATCATCGGCATCATCCTGATCATCATAAGCATCTTCATCGTCATCATCACCTACATCATCAATCATCAGCAGCATCATCATCGTCGTCATCGTCATCAGCATCATCATCATCATCATCATCATCATTACCATTTCGATCATCACCACCATCGCCATCACCATCACAAGGCTCTTCAGCCCCCTCGTCCGCCACAATCATCCTCATCATTATCATCATTCCCATCACCGGCGCGACACAGACGAACATGTTACGTCGTACAGCTCTCTCAAGCCTGGAGACACGAGGTGTCACGCGTTCTGGCTTCCTGTCAATCGCCACCCAAAGTGCTGGGCTGTCACTGTGGCGGGACTTGCCGAAGGTAGCAGGATATAGGTGATGTTGACGGGGTCCGAAGTGTTCATCTGCAGCTTCCAGCCGAAATCCGTCGACCCGCCAGAATATGGCAGGGTCGCGTCGAACATCTTCTCGAACGTCTTGCTCTCCAGCACCTCGACGACCGCCTTGGGCCTTTGAACGTGCAGAGACATGGCAACCGTTGAATTGGCTTCTGCAATGGTCCTGCGCATCATCGTCTCAATGCGATTCTTGAAGACCTTGGTGTTGTGGTGCCACTGGATGCCGTTGGACATGACGATCTCGTCGCCAGGGTAGATCCTGAATTCTGGGTGCTCCTGATTAAACAGTGCCAACATGCCTGTGCTGCTGACGCTTTCGATGACTGGAGGAACCCAGTCGTCGGCCGTCGAATTCAGCACCCAGCCCATGCTCTGGTTTGGCACGAAGGGGATGTCGACGGAGAAATCCTTCGGGTACTGCTTCCTGTACAGGTCGTCCCGCTGCGCCTGGGTTCGGCCCTCATTCTTGCGCCTGGGGCGCTGAATAAACAGTTTGAGCAGATCACTGGTGCCCTCCAAGCCCTTCTTGGACGCCTTGAACTGGCCCTTGATACGCTCCACAAACGTCTTCGAGTTGTGGTGCCAGAGGATGTCGTTGACCTTCGTGATCGTGTCGCCAAGGAGAACGGCATCGTCTGGGTGCGCTCTGTTCCACAGCTCCAGCAGCCCGCTCTTGCGAATCTTCGAGACCGAAACAGGTGTAAAGTCGGTGTCGGTGTCCAGCTCCACCCCGATGTGCAGGTCCTTCTCGCGGGCCGTGGTCATGTCCAGCTCCACTGTAAACTCCTTCTCGAACGCCTGCTCGTGGGCAAATTTTCTCTCCTCCGGGGTGAGGTGCTGCGTGGCTTCGGAGGCGAGGCCCCCCCGCTCTGCTAGAGCCTCGTGCCCCTGCGCGGCGTGGAACTGCATGCCCTGGACCCCCAGCCCCACCAGCGCCACCAGAGTCGCCAGAGCGAGACACCGCCCAACCATCTTGATGCTGTCAGGAGATGTCCGCTACCGAATTGACCGTGTTTACGTAAGAGTGTGCGCACTGCCAACAGGAACTCTGCAGAAGGGCGGAGAAAGGAGGACGAGCGGATGGAGGCGGATAAAAGGCACGGGCAGTTGGCTGAGTAGGCAGACGGTACCTGTGGCGAAGTACGAGGAAAAACGGGTGGTGGGGGGCATGGTTGGCTAGAGCGTAACAATCGAATAGCGGACAACAAGAAGAGGAAGCCACGCCCGCATCGCTTGGAGTGCACCCCGAGCCCTTTCCCCTCCGTCATCAGAAACATAAAGAGAAACGTGACCTGCAAGGTATCCCCATCCGTGAGCAAGATGGGATCCGAGGGCTACCCACTGCAGAGCCAGGGCGACGATCCCCGCACATCGCGACCCCGGCAAATTGAAGAGCCCTTGATAGGAGGACGCCAACTGTGCACCTACACCGATCCTGGCCAGGCCCATCTAAGGCACAGGATCCGTGTGTACTCCTTGCTGGCTTGGCCAGATAGGCATACAAATGTATACCCACCGACCCTGGGCTCAGGATCGATCTCGCCGGGATCGGGGTTAACTGTACAGCTGACGTCTTCCGATGTCACATCACGCAAGGAAGAAGGGAGTATGTTGTCTCGCCACAAGAGAAGCAGGATCATTGGTTGCAGAAGGTCTCTCTCTCTCTTTCTGTGGATGCCGTTCGGGTGGCGAACGTGCATCTTCACCACAAGCTACCGCAGAATGGGCAGAGCGCGCTGCCGAGACGCACAGCCTCCCCTCGAGAACAGGCAGACAGAAGCAGAAACACAGCAAAGCGATGGGCACAAACCTATTCAGCTCTGTGCAGCGCAGGGCGGGTACCAGAGGTATTCCGTCCTTCCTTCCTTCTTTTCTTCCCTCTCTCCGGCCCCGAGGAAGCGGGCGGCGGAGAATGGACGAGAGGAGGGGGGGAGGGGCGGAGAAGGACGGAGTGGATGGGGGATGGGGGATGGAGGTATGGGGCGGAAGCTGGAGAAAGAGAGGCAGAATGACAACGACGAGTCCGAGGAAAGGGAAGAGAAGACGACGAGGAGAGGACCAGTGGAGGATGAGGGTCTGGGAGGGACTGGGGCGCCAAGGTGAACGTTGGACGGGGGACGAGAGAGACCAGACCGTGAACAGGAGAGGAGCGCGAGGATCACGACGAAGGCGAGGAGACAACGGATAGGCGGCATGCCGCGGATGAGATGGGCATTGGAATCCCACCAGCCCTCTGGGCGCAGGTCGTTCCAGGCGCTTCCTCTTCCCCAGTCGGGGGCTACCCTCCCCGCCCTGCGCAGGAAGCTTCCTGCCCCGCCTGTGGACAGAGTGTGGATGACAAAGGTCGGACAGAGAAAGAGGTCACGTGAGCCGTCTCGAAGCAGTGGTCGGCGTGCTGGGAGCGTTTTGGTGCTTCTCTTGCCCCCTTGAGGACCCCTGTTGGTGGCCTCAGGGCCCTTTGGAACCCGTTTGGCAAGTCCAGGCTCGCTTTGCACCCCATGCCACGCTGAGGCACCGGTCTGGTCCCCCCTCCAGGGCCGACTCATCTATCTATCCACCTATCGATCGATCTATCTAATTTATCGATGAATTGTTACTGGAACCATCGCGCGCGCTTCGCACGCGCTCAAATTCTAGCTAGGCTGGATGGTCAAACTCTCGGGGATCTCTATTCCATGACACTTCTTCTCTGGGGGTTCCAAAAACCACGAAGACGGCCCAAGTGGCTTCCAAGACTTCCTACGGTCCACCCACGACGGCCAAAGACAAGCCCAAAAGGCTCTTCGGGAGCCCTTTTTTCGCCGCGGCTGGACGTAGCCGGAGGCAGAGGGATGAGAAGGGGAGGTGAAGTGGCTCCATGGGGGAGAAGGAGAAGGAGAATGAGGAGGAGTTGGAGAGGGTGGAGGAGGCCGCAGAGAAGGAGGAACCGGAGCAGGAGGAAGAGGAGGAGGAGGAAATAAGATATTCCATTTCTTCGCAAGCGTAACGAAGCTGCCAGGCGAATTCTAAAACAAGACATGTTGGAATTCCCGCTGTTCTCAAGTGCCCTCGGGGCCTCTGTCGCGGCTCTTCTGGGCCTCTTTGGGGCTTCTTGGGGACCTCTTGAAGCCTCCTGGGGTCTCCTGGGGCGAAGATCTCGGGTTCTCGGTTCACGTTCCCGATCCTGGGCGCGGTTGGGGCCCTCTCGAGCCGTCTTGGACGTCTCTTCGGCGCTTTTGAAGCCTATTGGGCCGCCTTGGGGCGCTTGTGAAGCCTGTTGGGCCATCTATCCTCGGAGCCTCTTGGGGCGTTGTGCAGCGGCGGGAAGCGGAACAGGCGGAAGCGCCAAAATTGTTCGAAAACCGTTGGAAAATACATGTTGTTTGGCCTCTTCGAGCTCTGTTGGGAGACCTCTTGGGTATCTTTGGGGGCCGTCTGGAGGCCGTCGTCTTAGGCGTCTTGGACCATCTAGTGGCCTTCGGCCCATCCCGCCACCGTGCCTGGGTTGTGGGTGAGAGGCCTCTTGGAAGTTGTTTGGAATTCGTGGGAGGCCTCTCGGGGCCTCTTGAAGGCAGTTTTGGAGACCTCTTGGGGGCCGTTTGGAATTCTCTTGGGGCCTCTTTTTGGGCCTCTTTGGCGCCTCCTGTGGCCTCTAGGGGGCCTCTAGGGGTGCCTCGTGGGCTCTCGTAAGGGCATCTTGGGGCCTCATGGGGGTCTCTTGGGGCGGAAGGCTCGAATTGTCGGTTCGTGTTCCCCCTCTCGGGCCTCGGGCCCCTCTTTTTGTTTTAGGTAGCGCCTTGAGCGCCAGAATCAACCCTGAACGTTTCAGCAGACGAAACATCATGCACGTTGAACTGCAAACCCGTCCGTTCGCCTACACCACTGTGGTGTGAGGCACCCACAAAACCCCTCTTGGGGCCTTCTTGGGGCCGTCTTGGGGTCCTCTTGGGGCCGTCTTGGGCGCCTCTTGGGCCGTCGTGGGGCACTCCTTGGGCCGTCTTTGGGGCTCTCTGCTGCGCCGTCTTGGCGCCCTCTTTGCGTGCCGTCTTGGGCCGTCTGGAGCTGATTTCTGGGGCCTGCTGGGCTATTTGGGACCGTCGGAAGCACGAAAAGGC